AAAGCCATACTATTTTACCAATTGTTCTGTCATGAGCTGAAATATTTTGCATACTGAGATCGGGAGGGTCAGCTCTCGTGTTTTTGGGCAGTATCTCTGGGCATTGCACAGTCTGACATTAAGGGGAATTCTGAATACTTAAAACACCATTTTACTGTAGATTTGACTGCAGGTTGTTTATTAATAATTTATTAACGGAAATTCTAACATACTTTTTTTCCTCTTATAACTGCAGTTACTAATAATTAAAACTTGGTTTAATGGATATACCTGCTATAAATTAAAATATGCAGAAGCCATGTTTAATTGAGGACATGTTGTCAATTGATGAAGTACTTTATTGGAGTCCAACTGACCATAGTTTTCTCTCTGTCTATAAACACATTCTGTGCAACATCAAATGGCAAAACATCATACACACACACACACCTAGCTTCCAGATTAACCAGCTGCTCTGTCCTGATTGTGTCCAGTCAATGGGGACTGAAAGCTACATGGTTCCTCTAAAGTGAGTCCAAGGCAATGTTCTCCCAAGTGTACGTGCACTACACTGTGCATTTACTTATTCTCTTCATTATTTTCTGAAGGCGAGCAGATGCGATAGGCCAGCACAAAAACAAATTCTGCAAATTCAGCAGAGAGACTGGATTTTGGGGGATTGTTAATATTTGAAAGACATATCAAATTTGTCGGTCCTTTTGAGTTTGATTTGTGGAGTATAAACCAATTACCATCTCCAGTCCTCATCTGTTTTAAAAAAAAATATCGAGAAAAAGTCGAGAATTGAGTTTAACTTTTGTTGTATTTGACTGGTGAACAGAAATATTCTTTAATTGTAAAATTTAGTGCAGTGCAGGTTCTTGGACATGTATAAACACTTTTACAGGTGCTAATTACGTCACATTTAAGAGCATGTGGTAGTCTTTTGTGTGCTTGGTAAATGTGTAAAAGCGTCAGGAAGACTTTGTTTGCAATCAGGCTCAATGAAACCTAACTTGTTACTATAGTAACTCAAAAGGACAGTGGGTTGTTGAATGTCTTAACCCTTTCAGTGTTTACACTAGAAAAAAAGAGAGCAGAAAACAGGTCTACATTTTTCTATTCAGTTTTGGTAATAATGTGCACAATTATCGTTTTTTTTTTCTTTTCTTTTTTTTTCTGCAAACTTATATTTGCTTTATCCAGTTATAGTTAAATACGTAATATTAGCGTTAGGGAAGGCTTCGACAAGTTGATTCTCTCTTTAGAAGGTTGATCGCACCGCATAACTCCATTTGAAGTTGGCCAGGATAAGAGAACGGTAGCACTGATGATTCCAACCAGTATTTAAGACGTCTGCAGGGAGCTCACTGAGCTCAGAAGACCATACCAAACCCTGCAGAATGGGTGAAACTAAAATTAGATGAAAACGGAGTACATTAACCTCCCTCTTCTTGGTGCCTTTTGGCCCGCTTCTCCCCTCCAAAACCCTTCAGACATCTGTGCCTCAAGAGCCTTTGGTGAACTTTCCTCTGACATTCCTTCAATGCACCACTGGACCATTTCCAGGCCTGTGCAGAGCTTTTGAATAGATGTGTGAAGCAGGGGAACTTCTAAAAACCTGCAGGACAGCAGCCCTCAGAGAATGGATCTGGACAACCCTGCTTTACATGAAACAAATCCTTTTCTCACCCATTTTGAATTTACTGTCATTATCATGATTTTTCAAATCCACCCAGCGCCCACAGACGGTAGCTTCCCAATTAGATTTTTGAGGAGGGCTTGGTTTGATATCACTCAATTAGAGATAGCGGTGACCCTTTGAGGTTGAAACTTTAAATTAAGATTATTTTTGTCATTGCTTTTTCTTTCCTTGTGGGAATAATAATCAGAAGGGAATAAAAGTGTTTCTGTGACTGAAATGGACAGGAGTGTTAGGCAATTGGTGGCTAAACATCTAACTCGTCCTTAAGACACCAATTAGCTGCAAAAAGATATGATATATGACAAGGTAGTTCTTCATTGCCCTATCAGTCAGCTTTCTACATGTAAGATTTTCATTGTGGTCATGTTGCCCTTATTCAGCTGTGTGGGCATGTAGAGATTGCACTTTGCTGACATTTCTGTCATTCCAGTGTTGCAGGACAAATTTGTCATATTTGCTTTCAGTCACCTCAAATGAATCCTGGCATCTGCTGGCACAATTCCAACCCAAGAGCCTCCAACCACCTAAAAGAACAGCAGGAGGCCAATCTGATTATGCAAAGCACTTAATCAGTTCTGATTTAATGTTGTCTTTATCATTAGAGTATATGTTTTCTGATAAGTTAGGGCCTACCCTAACTTCTATCAGACATGCTCCTCATAAGTATTGCTGTATAGAGCTCAATTTTTTTAAAACCTCTTCCTGTTGCCTGCAATGTTTTGTGAAAAGTATACATTTCGCTGTGCTGACTGATAACCTCATGCATAATTCGGACCAGCTGAGAAACTTAAATGGACAAAACTTAAAAAAGCTGATCTCATTGCATCGTTCCTCTGTAAAATGCACGCTTTTGCATTAACCTTAATTCAGTGAAATCTTTGTAAATCTCACAGTTTTGTCAAATCAGCTATGTTTCGCTCCACAGTTATTTGAAATTTAATCTGAAATTTCCCACAAGGGAATTACCTAATGCTCTGAAGCATTTCCATGGAATTCTTTAGGAGCACATCTATATTTTTTTTGTTAGGATGTTTCAGACCGGCTTCGCCGACCTCAACCCTCCACCCATTTCCAGTAAAAGCATACTCTTTCACTCATTTCCGAACCACTGGTAAAAAAATCAAAATAAATCAATTAAAAAAACATTTAAACACTCTTGATGAACCACAGTCTCCCATAAGATATTCTCCTAAATGACTGAGCCTGGCTCAGGCCTAGGAGGCACATTACTCTTTTCTTTTTATGACAAGACTGTGGAGGCATGAAAAGGAAGGGGAGAGTAATTTCATGTTAATGGACTCTCTTGGGGGGTGGGGGGTGGGGGGGGGGCAGGGTAGGGCTGACGGTAACCTTACATTTTGATTGAACATGATTTACTCACTCACTCTAGAACACAGTTTTGTGCATTCCACAAATCCTGTCAGCAGTGTTGCAGAAGCAAACACAAGCCCAAATATATATCTCAACTTTGAATTATACTGGAGAAAGCACTGTTATATATACATATCTGAACAATGCTTAAACGATTATTCATTACATTTGTCAAATGATCAGAAAATTGAAAATTAAGATTTTTCAGGACCATTAATATTTTGCAATTCAAGTTGATATGATGTAGATTTGCTGCTCAGCTATGGCGAAAAATTAATGATGAGCCAATCTAATTACGTTGTTCACTGTTAAAATATCATTCATTTTGTAAATGTGAAAAAGAAGCATTAGCATAGAATGTAGAATGAATGTACACAGAATGTGTAATTATGTTATCAGTAATATTGTTACACTGAAATGCTGGAAGTTTGTGTGTGTGTGTGTGTGTGTATATATATATATATTTATATGCCAACTAATAAACACTGTAACAAAAGTTACCTGGCAACCTTACAAAGACAGCAACTCTTACTCGTATAAAATGGTTTAACAAAGGAACTGTTGTGTGTAACAATGAGCACACAGCTGAAATTTGAATCTGATGAACATAAAAGGTTTTTAGAGTCTTCAGGCACTGGGTAGCGCACCCATTACAGCTAAAATCTTAGCTTAGTTTACGGCCAATCACTAACTGACTGATGCATGGCTGTACAGATAATGCTGACTGCAGTTTTTAAAGAATGGATCAACTTGCATAAAACTTTCATAGACAACCTAACTATATAGGACTGTTTCTTTAGTGGTTGATAGAACATTTAGATGTTATTTTATTCATAGAGTGCATCCTTCTGGTAATTTATTTCAATGCAAGCTCAGAGTAATTCATACACCAGAGCTTCACTTCTTTGATTAAACTTATCAGCTTTTTTTTCCAATTACAGATTTTCTTACTTCACAAAACTTACTTACAAACTTACTTTACCTGTAAGAGATACAGCCTTTTCCAGCAAAATTTAAAGAATTTGAAAGGGTACACATCTGTTTTTTTCCCCTCAATGATTGTTAGTCAGTTATAGCCCTATTCAGCTTGTTGTGTTCAGACCATCTGAATGATTGTTCTTCATTCTTTTAGCCAACTCGGAAATAATTAATTCATTAATGGAATTAACAAAAAAGTTAAACATCCATTTTTTTCCCTGCTCTTTCAGACAGTTATGCATTTTTTTCTTGGCATATGGATGTATGATATACATTTAACACACATGCATATCTTTGTGTGTATAATATTGATATTTATTGTCCCTGCGATAGATTGGTTGCCTGGCCGAGGTGTTCCTCTTCCGTCATCCAGTGGCAGCCAGAGAAGAAAACAGGTAAACACCCCTATCACGAAAAAAAACTCACAAGGCGAAGCAGGTTAACTGTCCATAAATCACAAAAGATTGTGGGTCATATTTTGGGCCAATGTTGAATTATTTTTTGCATATAGAATCAGAATTCATGAGGAATAAGAGATGAGAACCGCATCATTATAGATCATAAGTGAACCAAACTTCAGTGAGTCACTTCTGTGTC